CTAATTTCAACTTTTGGACGTCTAATGGTCATTTGCACTGACCATTTTAAGGAACCCTTAGCGATAAGTAGGTATCTTTTAAAATGACAGTTTTAGATGGAAAAATGTCACTTTAAGGAATACTTATCGCTAAGGCTACCTTAAAATAGTCGGTCCAAATGGCCATAGGTATTTTCTATTTGTTTCAATAAAATTGTATCCTTAATTTGTTAATTTTGGGTTTTTTTTTTAAGAAGTCGAGTGTTTTTGTCACATTATTTTGACAGAGATATGAAAGCAATTTTCACCTTTCATATCAATACTTTTTTGCCCGGGTCAAAAAAGTAACTTTTTTGACCCGGACTGTAAGTGACACTTACAGTTCATGGACGTAGGTCAAAAAAGTCAACTTACAGAATGGGTAGCACAAAAAATATATTATCTTGAGCTTAAAGCCTATGTAGCAAAAGCTGTTCAAAATGAAAAAAAGGCATATTATTGTAGTCAAATTAATATATGTAAAAACAAAAATGGTGGTAGGGATTTTTGGAGTATAATGAAGAGCTGGAAAATTATTCCAGATGAAATAAATGACGCAAACTTAATCAACACACATTTCTTGACTAGTACACCTAAATTGGCGATTGACCCTCAAATTCTCAGAAATTTCGACTCTGAGTTAATGCAGTTTGAGCCATTTGAGTTCAGTTTAGTAACAGCAGATGACATTGTCTCAAATATAATCAGCATAAAAAGCAATGCCACTGGTATAGATCAGATTTCACTCAGGATGCCAAAAATGAGTATATCCTGCTGTCTCAACCCATTAACTAACATAATTAATCATTGCTTAGAAACAGGCGTCATCCCCGATATTTGGAAGATTGCCTTGGTTACACCTATTCCAAAGGTTCCAAATCCATCATTAAGTGATCTTAGACCTATTAGCATACTGCCAGTTCAATCAAAAATTCTTGAAAAAATTGTGAAAGAGCAATTGAATAAATTCACAGATAAATACAGTATTATTCCTATTTGCCAGTCGGGTTTTTGCAGTGGGCATAGCTGTGAGACAGCACTGCTTAAGGTCACTAGTGACATAGCTGGGAGTATCGATCAGGGCGGGTGTTGCCCAGCAGTGCTGATCGATATGACTAAGGCATTTGATTCTTTGAACGTTGAATTGTTAATTGCAAAACTTAAATATTATAGGATAGAAAATAATGGCTTCTTTGCAAACTATCTGTGCAATCGGAGGCAGGCTGTTCGATTGAGAGATGAAAATGGTGTAACAATCTCTGATTCCTTAAATATAAATACAGGGGTGCCGCAGGGGTCCATACTGGGTCCCTTGCTTTTCATAATTTTTACAGCTGATATTCAAGCTCGCATCAAAAATAATTTTTATCATCTATATGCCGATGATCTACAGGTTTATCTCCCAAGCAAGCAGTCTAGCCTTCCTAAAACCTTGGACAGAATTAATAGTGACTTGGATGCAATTTCAAGTTGGGCACAGTGTAATTCTCTTTTTGTAAATCCTGTCAAGACAAAAGCCATTCTTTTTTCCAAATTAAAAATTGACAAGGATCATTTAAATATTAGAGTTGATAATGTGATCATTAACTGGAGTGATGAAGTGAGGAATCTTGGTTTATATATGAATGAATGTATGAGTTTCGATAATCATGTAAATAACATCTGTTGACGAGCATTTTATAGGCTTAAAATGATGTATGAATATAGGAATCTTTTGCCCACATAAACAAAAAAGATTCTCACTGACTCTATGGTTCTGTCAATACCAAATTAATTATCTCAATTGTGTATATGGACCTTATTTAACAGCATATAATAGATACCGAATACAAAAAATACAGAACTGTTGTGTCAGATATGTTAAATGCCTGCCTCGCAGGGAGCATGTTAGCCAGCATATTGTTGAAGTATATAAAACAAAAATGGATCAGAGATGTCTTATGCACATGTGTAACTTAGTGCATAAGATTTTAGGTACTGGAATACCAGTATATTTATTTAATATGATTGAGCATCGTAGTGATATTCATGAGCTAAATACACGCAATCGAAATCTCATAAATATTCCAAAGCATAATACAGAGTTTTTCAAAGCAGCTTTTCCATACTGGGCCGCAAAAGTGTATAACATGCTACCTGCTGAGATTTCCCAAGTTCAAAGCAATTTGAGCTTTGGGATAAAACTCAAAGAATATGTCTGTAATAATAATTTGTCGCTATAGAATAGCTTTACTGCTATGGCTGTGTGTAGGTTCTAGGTTGTAAGGTTCTAGGTTGTAAGGTTCTAGATTAGGTGAGTGTAAGCTAACAAACGCTTTTAGCGTCCTTGTACTCTTTGTGATTTATGCAATAAATGATTATTTATTTATTTATTTTATTTATTTATGAGAGATGAGCGTTAATGATCAACTGGTGGACTACATTGAAGCACATGGCATACTTAGTGATAACCAGGCTGGATTCGGAAGGAAAAATTCTTGGGGGAGTGCGCTGCAAACTGTTCTTTCCAACTGGAAAGTTGCATCGAATGAAGGAAAAATTATAGGTGTTGTATTCCTGGACCTTAAACGGGCATTCAAAACCATTAATATGCAATGATTGCTGCTAAAATTGAAAAAGTATGGGATTGGAGGAATAAGTTTGAAGTGGTTTGACGATTATTTAAGTGATCGAAATCAGGTGACAAGGTATGATGGTCTATCAACCGCCAGAAAAACAGTATATGGTGTTCCACAAGGAACAGTATTGGGCCCAACTCTTTTTATAATATACTTAAATAACATTGTGAAAGTTATTCAAAAATACAAAATCCAACTATTTGCAAACGACACTATTATATATGTACTTGGAGACACAGTTGAGGAAATAATACAAATTTTTAAAGTGGAGCAGAGTAGTTTGTTTGAATGGCTGAATAACAATTATCTACTAAAGTATAACAAAAACGATGATATAAAAAATAAAAATTGTAATATAAAATTACCAATGAACTTGAAGGTAAAAATTAACAATGAGATAATTGAAGCTGTGCAGAATTTCAAGTATTTGGGTTGCATAATCGATGATAATTTGACATTCTCTGAACACTTTAAGTAAATAACAAATAATAGCAAAAAAAGTTGGTGTAATGGGGCGGATGTCGAAGATTCTAAGTTGTTGGGCCAAGCTACCGATCTATAAAACAGTAATTGCTCCACATCTCTATTTTTGCTCCACTTGTTGTTTCTGATGAATTAGCATACCTAACGAATTATATTAGATTGTAATAGACTCGGTAATAGATATACCAGGCGAGTTGACATGTTAAATTCTACAAATCTTTTAAGTGTAAGACAAACAATAACTTATAATACACTGATTTACATATATAAAATGTTACACCAACTAGTCCCTGAACATTTGTTGGATAATCGTAAATTTGTTAGAGATACTAGGACAAGAAATAACTTTTATCTGACCACAGTGAGTGCCAATTTTAACCAAAACAGCCTATTTTATAAGGGATTGAAACAGTATAATGAATTGCCTGAGGCCTGAGGGAATTAAAAGCTGTGAAAACCTAAAAAAATTTGAACGGGAGTGCAAGCAGTCAGTACATAAAGGAAACTATTAGCATTCAAGAATACAGCAGTATAACTAAATGAAATTGTATCTTCTTTTCGCTTTTATGTATTTTTTTTGTGATATTTAGATAGATAGTAAGAAGAATTTAGGTATAGGTATTGAATTTGATCTAGCTCTTTGCTATTAAAAAAAGATTACTATTCTTATTATTATGAAACAAAATTTCTATTTTTTCTCAAAGTTGTACCTATCCGAAGTAAAAGCTGCAGTTATGGAATCCTTACTCCTGCACCGAAGTTACGACTCTGTTGACATTGCTGACTTTTTAAAATTTTGAAAATGTCTTCTGTCTTTTCATCATCAAAATATTTGCCGTCCTTTTTTCCCGTCCTCATTTCCCGACCTCATTTGGTTGTCACGAATTTTTTTTTTCAAGAAATCATGGTTAAAAATAAAATAATATATAAACCTTGACGGAAAACTTCATTGATATCTTGAGGTTTAGTTTATCTCGACGTTACCCGTCAGGATAAACTATATAACCTCTTGACCAGCAATAAAGCATTTCTCGTCTCGGATTGTAATACAGAGGGTCCCAACTATTTTATAGGGACAATATTGCTCGGGAACGGTTAAAGCTACGAGGGCGTTTAAATTAGAAAAAAAAATTAAGTATAGGTACAATGTTGTAGGGCGGATCGAGGGGCGGATAAAAATATACTTTTGAATTTAAAGTATGTCTCTTGGTCCCGGTTCATTCATCTTCAGATAAACTTGCTGTTAACTATCTACAAGATAAATGCAACATTCTATAACTCTATTGGTCAGCATATAACGGGCCGACCAATGGGATTCCAGATTGCGTTTTTATCCGTCAGATTGCATGCCTGACAGTTTATCAGAAGGTGAATAAACCGGCCCTGAAATAAATAGATTTTAAAATTTATGATAAAATTGTTTTTGCTAAAATTCATAAATCACCCTGTATTTGCGAAACTAATAGAAATTTGGCAACAACGAAAATATATTTTTAATATTCTTCAAAAATGGTAACTTTTTTCTAATTTAAACGCCCTCGTAACTCTAACCGTTCCCGAGATAACAATGCTGTCCCTATGAAATAGTTGGGACCCTGTATACTATTATTTGAACTTTTTTTTTTCAAAAACGCGCTGTTATCAAGTTATAAGACTGTCTCAAGTTAAATGGACCACCCAGTATAATGCCCTTGGTATGACAATTAAATTATATTATAATTTAATCTTGAATTTATATAATTATTACCTTAAAACTAGTTTCGCACTATAATAAATTAACTCTATTTTCTATACCTGATGATAAATAATGCAACAGCCTATCAAAATAATGATAATTAAGTAATTAGATTATTTTTAACCGTTTTGGCTATTTGTTTTTAGAGTTACAAACCTACTCCTCTCTGGTATCAGTCCTAAGAGCTCAAGGTTCCTTAAACAATGATAAAAGAAGAGTCCTAAAAGAAACTGGTATTTTATTAAATATTTCAAAGGAAAGGCATAAAACTGAAGTACGGAAAGCTGTAAATGATGAGACACTACATACAATCGCTTACCAGTAAGTAATTAGTCAATAATTATTATGTAAATATATTTTTTACACTCATTATTCTGTAGTATGAATGGTCAAATCAACTCAATTGAAGACTGGGCCATAGAAGGTCGTAGATTTGTGCCCTCCTTGCCTCGAATCCCAAGCGAATCAGTTTATGTAGGTTTGGCCGATGAATTATCTGAATTAACCTCACTCGATAACAACGAACTGCCACCTCCTTCAGATACGCGAAGAACACAAGCAAGTCCGCAAATATCACCTGTTAGTTCTCCAGTTCCTACACATTCTGAAGAATGTACTGAAAACTCAATGTTTCGAATACCAGAAGTACCCAGAGAGGAACAACCGAAAAGAAAAAGGCATCATAGTATTGGGGAGAATAGTACTTTGGCACAACATTTGCTGGGGACGAAGTCTTTGAGTAAAATTCAACAAATTTATAGGTAAGTTACGAATTATTTGTAGTAAAATCTAGTAATTGATGCTGTTTGTAATAGCTTATGATCCGCCTTATGAGTAAAAGGTCTATTCCAAATTTACCAGATAATCATGAACACTGTTATATGTGATTTTTTTGTGATATTCTGAGCAAAAAACGTCAATTATTAGGTACATTGATTTAAAAATAAAAACGAAATTTTTTTTTTTTTTTTTTTTTTTTTTTTTTTTTTTTTTTTTTTTACGGATATGCGCACTCGCAAGGAAATGTCCTATCACGCTCGAGAAGCGGCAAGTGCGCGGAAATGTCGGTGTATGTTGGTCTTGAAACGGTTCAGGTTGTAACCTGCAGGGAAAACCGTCGCAGGGAGTTTATTCCACAGCGATGCTGTTCTCCAGAGATATGAATTCTGATATAATGACGTTCTTGGTGCCTCTAGTTTGACAGTAAATTCATGGTTACTGTCTGTTTGACGGGTTCGCCTGGTAGGTGCTACTCTCGGTGGAATCATACGTGCCAACTCTTCAGAGCATTTTCCGTGATAGTACCTGTAGAAGAGAGATAAATCGCCCACAGATCTGCGATGTTCGAGACCATCCAAGTTACGAGTAAGTGCGGGGTCATTGATCAGCTTGATAGCTCGTTTTTGCACGGTATTCAAAAGCATTAAGGTATGTTTGGGTGCTGCACTCCATATATGTGAGCAGTACTCCATAGTTGGTCGAATCTGGGCTTTGTAGAGTGTCAGCAATTGGCTTGGTGTGTACAGATGTCTTGCACGAAATAGCACCCCCAGCTTTTGGGAGGCCCTTTTAGCAATATCTGCCACGTGACTGTGCCAAGACATGTTGGTCTCTGCAGTAACCCCCAAGATGTTCAACTGACTCTGTAATGTGACAGCACTTCCAGATAGCATGATGTTTGGCTCACCGGTGCTGGTCTTTTTTGAAAACAGAGCTGCTTGGGTTTTCTGCGCGTTGAACTGTACAAGGTTTTTGTTACCCCAGTCCTCTATTATCTCCAGGTCGTTATTTATCTGCGATATTTGAGTTAGTCTAAGATGGTGGAATTCACGTGCGGAAAGACCTGTGGGTGGTTTGAGTGAGGAGACTACATTGCCATCGTCTGCAAAGCAATAAAGTGGATTTACTGTTTTATCTATGAGGTCATTTATGTAAATCAGGAAAAGAGTTGGCGAAAGGATTGCTCCCTGTAGCACACCAGCATTTATTTGGTAAGAGTTGGAGTTCTGGCCATCCAGTGCAACATAAATGGATCTGTCCTTTAGGTAACTTTCAAACCAAGTGCAAAGTTTCGGCGATAATCCCATTGCTTTGAGCTTGTTGAGCAGATTTTCATGCCAAACTTTGTCGAATGCTTTAGATATATCTAAGGCAATTGTTCTTGTTTCACCCCGCAACTCAATCGCTTTTTGCCATAAGTGAGTGACGTATGTAAGTAAATCGCCAGTTGACCTATATTTTCGAAATCCGTATTGCTTATCGTTGATAATTTTGTACTTTTCCAAGTACTTGGTTAGGTGATTGTTCACGACTCTTTCCATTACTTTTGATATCACCGGAAGTAGAGCAATTGGTCTATAGTTTAACGGATCTGTCTGTTTTCGTTTCTTTGGAATGGGTTGTACTGCGGCAGACTTCCATGATGATGGATATACTCCTTGCCTGTAAGACAAATTGAATAATTTTGCGAAAGTTGGGGTGAGTTCGTTGGCGCAATTTTTGAGTACTATTGCGGGAATGCCATCCGGACCCATTGCTTTGTTTGTATACAGCTTTTTTAGGGATTTTCGTATTTCTCTGTGACAAAAGGGTACCTCTGGCATACTATGGGAAACCCTTTCAATGAACGGTGGAGTTTTTCCGTTTGGCACTGTTAGGTTGGAGTTGGAGGAAAACATTTGGGCAAGCATATTGGCTTTTTCCTCTGATGTTGTGGCTGAGTGATTATTTTTATCTGTAAGTGGTGGTATGAATGACTTGGTGAAGTTAGATCCAACAGCTTTTGCAAGAGACCAAAAAGACCTAGAACTACTTGGACAATTCAGCAACCTTTTTTTAATTCTTTGATTGTATGTTTCTTTAGCGGAGTCAATAGTAGTTTTGCAAATTTAAGCGAATCGCTGATAAAATGAATCCAGTACATCTCTCCGTTCCACATTTTATTAAAAACTTGTTCCACATGATCATCCTTTCCCTTCCCTTGTTCTACCACCTCCAAATATTTTTCAAAGATCGTTTATATGTAGGCATTTCATTTTAGCTCTACCTATTTGAAAAATCAGAAAGATCTGCTATTTATGAGCTTATATGGGACAAGTGAACGCCAGCATTGAGTAATTAATCCAGAACAATACAATAAAACTATACGCAAAATAAATTTAATGCTCTTGGACTAAATTAATTCTTAACTCTCATCAGTGGAGTTTTTGCTTTATCCCATAGGAATCTTGAATATCTATGGCGGCTATTATAAAAAAAGATTGGAACAGGGGCGGGATTCTCAACCTCTAGTCGCAGCTTATAATCCCGAATATCCGCATCGCCTTTCTACGAGTGATTCGGGAAGTTACGTTACCTACTAACAATTGAGCAAGCCTTGAATCGCTAAAACACATCATACAACGAAACAGATTTCACCTTAGTAGGTTAAAATATAACCAGAAGCGAATCAGTCATTCACTCAGAGAATGGTACATGATGGTGATAATTTTCTGTTTATTTGCTCATTTTATATGTACCATATTAGACAATTTTCACAAGCAATTATTTTTATTCCAGGCAATCCTCAAATACTGTCGAACCAGAAATCTCAGAAACCTCCCCATCATCGGCCACCGAAAATGTTGACAAAACAAATATCCAGCAACCTAGTGCCACAACACCGAAAATAAACATAATTGAAAACATTACTATACCGAGTTGTAAAAATAGTTTACAGGATAGGACTAGTTTCAGTGTATTTTCGCCCAATGACATTCATGTACCAGTGACAGTGTATCATCAAAACTCAATAGTGCATCAGCCAGAACAATTTTTGTCTAGTGACTATCAAGCGTCTGCGATGCACCATAAACCTTTTATAGGAACTTGTGATATTCAAAATATGCCAGTGATGTTAGATAATGAATTGCCGTATAGTGAAAATTCATTTTTATTTAATGAAAATTCTATAGTTGGTGAAAATCAAGTCGTCTCTCTACTGCCCTACAGTGAAAATGATACACATCATGACCAGCATAACTTCGAACCGCATAATAATATTGATGTAGTTGCTGAAGTCGTTGCTGAGCCTGAGCAACAAACATTAAACGCCCCGCCACAAGTGATCATACCTAAACAATTAAATAAAAAAGTAATTGTCCAAAATCTTCCAACTAATAGTATATTACAAAAAACCTTATCGGTATCTAGAAATAAATTGACCAAATTAAATATGGAGAACTTTAAATTTTTACCGAATAGTAATATAAAATTAGCGTCAAAACCCAAAATGCTGACGCTCAAGAGTAATATGAGCAAAAAAATTATACCACTATCACATCTACAAATGCTCCAAAACTCTAAAGGCAGCTTAAAAATGGTAACACCTTCATATTTTTCTGACAGAACTATAAATTTCAATAATTGCAATAAAATCATTAGAGGAAATAATGGTGTACAGCAACAAGAAATGAATGGTGCAGTGGTTGGAAATGGAAATAATGTAACTAAAATGGAAATTGAGAATGATGTTCGGATATCGTCAGTGGAAGAATTGGACAGTAATGATAGTATGGAAACTTTGAGTACGGCAAGTAATGAGATGGAGGAAGTCAACTTTATCGAGGATTTAACAATAAGTAAGTAATAGGTAGAGTTTTTGTTGCTTAATTCAACCCATATCCCCAATCAAAATATTTTCAAAATACTAGTTTTTAGAATGATGGTAAAATTGACAGATATTTAATTTTTGCATAATTGTCAAAATAATGTAATATGGTAGATAAGTTTTTTTACTGTTTCTTCTGCTTCCAAACCGTTTCTTTACAAGTTGCGTACATAAAAAACTTAAATAGGTATTCTGTTATAAATCTCTTAATTTGGCGAAATTGTGCACAATCTTGCAACTGGGCCCTAAATCTATTTCTGGACTAAAACTAATATAATATAAGTATGTAAAGGTGTCTTTTACGCACACTATGGAACAAATGTTCATTTTCCGGACCAAAACTAATACCGTTTTCTGTTGGTAAAACTCGAGGTAAAACTCGTGCTGCACTCATGCAAACATTATGTTCTGTTGGCAGTTTCCGAGCGGGTTTTTATGTTCTATTGGAAAACCAGGGCAATCAATTATTGCCCTCGTGCAACTTTTCCAGCACGAGGTCAGAGAGCTCGTGCCAATGTCAGGGCACAACAAAAATGGCGTAAAGTGCCGAAAAGTCTGTGTATAAACAAAACCAAAAAATTATGGATATCGATATTGATAAAATTCTATATTTTTTATCTTCGTCGAGCGACAGCGATGAAGAGGAAGAATTATTAGGTCTGTTTCTGCAGAAATCACAAACCAGTCAGAGTGAATTTCATTGGTTGAAAACAGTCAGAAAACTAGTTTTAACTTAAAACTAGTTTTCTGGCTGTTTCTGACTGTTTTCAACCAATGAAATTTAATCGGATCTATTATATTATATACAATCGCAGGCCTATGATGTATCATTTTCTGTTATTTTAGCAGCAACATCAAAATAGAGACAGAAATAGATGTTGAGCCTTAACACAGACGTTGAAATAACAGGACAGAATACATCATAGGCCTGAATGTTTGCCAGGGATAATGAGATACAAAAAATTCAAAATTTTATTATTGAAATTGACATAAAAATTAATTTCAACGCAGGTATCATTGGAATTATTTCTGCACATCTCGGGAGACAGCATAATTATGTACTTTACATACAGGAAAAACTTCCGTTTTCAACTTTTTCATACACACAAACGTTTTTAATTTTTATTCCATTGAAAATGTCTTTAGGTTAGGTTAGGGATCAGGGATCGTTAAATAATAAATTTTAAAAGAATGACAAAACGCGCCAAATTCATGTTCTTTTGAGATTGCACTAAACGTGAACTGATTCAGTGTTGAGTGCAGAACTCGGACAGCACGAGTTTTACCAACAGAAAACGCTATAAGTATGTAAAGGTATTTTTTACGATACAGTATAAAAACAAGGAATTTTAGAAATAGTCCAGCGAATTCGAAATGAACGGAAATGAATTATCTAGACAATTCTAGACGCAACCGAGGAAAAAAGTCAGCTATAGATTAGATACCAGTTTTTCAAGAATCAGTTAGCACCTAGGTCCGAATTTATAGTCGCTCCTTAAGGTTTCCTCAGACCTTAAGGAAGCCTTGAACATTTAGAATTGCCATGACTAACTTGTCAAATAGTAGCAAGTGTCCATTCTAAACTCACGACCTCCAAGGAAGAGTCAAGGAACGACTATAAATTCGGGCCCTACTCAATTGAACGAGCATGAGTTGTGGAACGTAATACCATAGTGAGTTGTGATTGTTTTGTACGGAAGCGCAGAGAGGCCACCCTATTGCATTTTTTTTTTAAATTCCGGCTTGCAACTCGAAATAATCCCGTGTTATAGGTAGGAATTCCCAATGACATCTTAACACAGATAGACACCATATCTCATTCATAAACTGATGTTTGTTGTGATTACAAGACCCCCCATGGGCCAGGAGAGGTGAGCTGCTTGAGGGGGGTCATGGTAGAGATGCATAAGTGGTGTAAACAACGCCCGCCTCTTCTGAACCCGTCATTCACTTGATTAAAATAATGGAGAAATCTTATGGGTGCAGCTCGTTTATCTATCTATCTATCTGCCTCTAACTCATATGATATAAGTTCGTTAGACGCGTTCGTTGACATGCCAATCGATTGCAGCGTGTTCCGCCTATTTTACAAAGCGGCGTTGCCCATAGTAGTTTTTAGTCTTGAAGCTCCAAATTTTTAAAGAAAAGTCATAACAGGATAAAATATCAATCCCTAAAAATTTGGCAAACAAATTGGGGGTACACCGGTGATGGATTACTCTCCTAGATTTTAACGACAGAAAATTTTGTTCAATGTAAAGTTTTTTTTTTTTTTTAAAGATAAAAGTCAAAATGACATTATCAACAATACAAAATTGTCAATGCAAATCCGCCTTGATAGGGCTAAAACCTTATTTAGACGCGATAAGTCATTTCCTTACTTCAAATAACATTTAAATATTGCAAATTTCCAGGAACAGCTAGGAGTTATGATACCTTATTTTGAAACTAAAAATCTTGGATTTTTATGAATGTTCCAATGTTCATCTTTTTAGTTTGAACTTGAAGTTAAGGCCGAAACCCACTAGCAACACGCTACGCCCTACTACGCCATGTGACACAGGTTCACGTGGGACAGTTTGTGTGTAAATGGACGGATGGCGTGGCGTGCCATGACGTGGTATCGCGTGTGGCAAGTGTGTACGCGGCACATATAAATAAATGGAAGAATATACGCATACATTTTCGACACATGGCGTGGCGTGGCAAAGTATGACGTGGCGTGTTGCTAGTGAGTTTCGGCCTTTAAAGGGTTTTCTTTCTGTGAAATTTATGCTTAGGTATTTTGGAAATTGGAAATTACTTAATCAAAATCAAGGTTCCTAAAGTTGACAAGTTGTCTGGTAATGGGTACCTTGATGGCGCATGTGGGGTGCCTTATGGAGATTTGCATTATGTAGAGGCACCCCAGATGACGTCATAAAATTATTAGGCAACCTGTCTTTCGGAAACAACCTAGGTTTAAAATATTTAGATACTACCTACGTGTCAACTCTTAGAACAGTGGAAAATGGAAGAAGTATCAGAGGCCCTATATATATTTGGGAAATGGGAATGGTGGTAGAATGGTGATGTTGAAGATGCGAATCTGCTGTCTGTTTAATATATTGGTGGATAGGGATAATGTAGTGGAGCAGCCTCAGTTCAATTTGAACAACATTTCCCAAGAATTTGCTTACGTAAACCCGAGCGTAAACCTCAGTCTGCCTCTTTTCTGTGCCTTGATGCTGTTTTCATTTTGCTCAAATTCTCAAAGTTTATAAAAATCAATAGCAGTCAAAATTTGTTGTCATGAATCTAAAATCTATGGTTATAGATACAAAACACAACAAAAATCAGTTCGCGATTATTACCGAGCATCGCGGATCGACTAAGAACTTTTAAATAAGGCGAGGGATAAGGCAGGTCTTATTTTCTCCTAAATAAGGCAGATCCTTATCCTTAATAAGGCCGTCCTTATTCCAAATGGAAACTTCGCATGCGCAGCTGTCAAAATAAATAAGGCTTGCCTTAATAAGAAAAGCCATGATTATTCCGGAAGTTATACAAATATTAAGTTTTGTATATACTGAGCATGTGCGACGTCATTAAATTATACGATAAGTGACGTCATAGGCATATTTCATAGCGCAGTATCTCCGTCAATTTTTGACTAAGAAGAAAAAAAAACACGTGTTGACTTATTTTTCATCAACTAACGAAATCGGCGATAAAAAAAATTGATAAAAAAAAAAATGGGATAGGTGGCTTCTCTGCACTTCTGTAGTTTTGTGACTAGTTAACCTTGATTTCAGTTAAACGAAGTGGTAGTTCTGTTGTGGTTTTTTCTGTTATGGTCTCTAATAAAGGTTAATTAATTTTAGAAGAGTAGTCTCACATAATACACTACTACTACACACTACACTACTACTACTACTACTACTGCTACTACTGATATATCAGAAGTGAGTGAAGAAATTTTCGGGATAGGTGTAAAGAAAAACATGAAGAAGAAGACAAACGACATAGAGAAAAATAAGAAGACAGCGCTGCAAAGAAAAACAGGAAGAGCATGAGCGACTCCAGAAAATATCGCAACAACAAGAAAACGAGCGACTGAAAAACAAAGAGAAAGGCGCCGTATCAAATCCGTATCGTATCGAATGTCTTTATGGTTAAGTTGAGTAGGTATGTCAGAGCCAGCTGAAAAGCAGGGTGCAACGTTTATCAGAGACCACGTATCAGAGAATGGTCAGGTTGGTATATCTAAAAGCTCCAGAAGATTTCATTGAACATCTAGTACTTTATCGATGGAGTAAGAGATACGGACCTGAAGCTAGCACTAAGACTGTGTAGGCATAACACCCTTGCCGAATCCTTTGTTCATGTTTCACGCTGAAGTATGAAGCTACCCCGTAGAATAGAAGAAGCAGAATTAGAAAAATAAGGATATCCAAAAAAAAAGCCCGAACAGGCAGATATTGTACGCGACGTTCTCGTTCAGAAGACCGCGATGTGCAGGAGAAAGGTGGCGCCGGAAAACAGGGAAAACGCTACCTCACCAATGGGAGAGGGCGAACGCTGGCGACCATCTGTTCTCCAAAAAAAGGAACTATGACAGTCTCGCAGCCCAAGGCACCCTCCACGGCAAAAATGTGATTTCACCATATACACAGAAGAGTCTGTGATGTTAGAAACTAAACTGCTATGAGAAAAGGCTGAAGGAAATTTAATAAGTATTTCTGGAGAGACCCACGTACTGTTGGGAATAGGCAGCATGGAACTGAATGTAAAAGTAATCACTTCTGACATAGATGAGTTTGTACCTATCCTAGATACTTTTGATTTCCTATTTGTGGACTTTAGAAATAGAATGGTGAGAGTGGGCAACGACTCGTCAACTTCAAATGGGGCGAGCAAGTTAAAATCTTGTCGACGAATTCTAGGTTAGTGAAACGATCGTAAAGGCACATCTAGAAAAACAGCTTGAAG